AGAAATGCTCCCTCACCCTCTAAAATTTTTTTAAATCGAAAAAACCACCCTTTAATCGAAAAATTCAAATTTAAGAAGTAAAAACAAGGAGGGGGTCCTTTATGTTTATTTCATAAACATTATGCTTCCTCATTTTGTGAAGCAAAAAATTCGCTTCCTCGTGAAGGAAGCAATGAATTTGTCCAATTCAATTGATTGATTTAAAAAATTTCGAGTTAAAAATGTTTTAAATTAATTAAATTTTTTGAAAAATAAAGAAAATTTTAATTAATTTTGAGTGTAACATAAACTTTATATATACGAATCGATTCGTTTTAATGCAAGGAATACAATTATTTTATTCATCAACTTGAATTTAAAAAAAACACAAAATTTTTTAGCTAAAATATGAATATTCGATTTTTCAATTTTTATTAATTCTCAAATTTTAAATCAAATCTATACTTTATATATACCAACCAATTCGTTTCAATGCAGGGAATAAAATTATTTCATATATAAAAATGAATTTAAATAAACACATCATTTTTTAGCTAAAATGAGAAATTTTGATTTTTTAACTTTCTTTAATTCTTTAAATTTCAATCAAATCTATACTTTATATATATCAAACGATTCATCTTGACATAAAGAAGACGATTATATTATATATTACCTTAAATTTTTCGATTTAAAAATTTTTTCAATTAAAAAAAAATTTTTGGAAAAAAGACGATAAAATTTTATTTTGGGGTATTTTTAAAAATCCTCTCGTCATTTTTGAGAGATTAATGTGTTAAATAAGCCTACCAAATTTTATCCAAATCCATTAAAACCTGTTAAAGATATCGTATTCACAAAAACGATCCACACACACATACAGACACACACACACACACACACACACATACACACACACACATACATACATCCGGACAATTGATCTGGATCTCATATAACATGTTTCTATATAGAGGAAAATTTGTTTTCACCATTTTTAAAAAGTTTATAAACGAAAGGACTACATAGCTTCCTCCACGAGGAAGCAAAATATTAAATTACCGGCTTTTTTTAAAAACAGAACCTTACATGTTTGTAGTTTTGCTCTACTAATTAAAAAAAATAAAGCCAGCATTGACCCATCACCCTCTGAATTTTTTTAATCCAAATAACTACCCCTAATCTGAAGAATCAAATTCAGGAGATAAAACAACAAAATAACTGATTGACAAATTTTATAAGCAGATATTTTTACTCCAGCAATGCAGAAACAAAGCCAGTAATGCTCCCTCACCCTCTAAATTTTTTTTAAATCGAAAAAACCACCCTTAAATAGAAAAATTCAAATTTAAGAAGTAAAAAAATATTAAATTACCGGCTTTTTTTAAAAACAGAACCTTACATGTATGTAGTTTTGCTCTACTAACTCAAAAAAATAAAGCTAGGATTGATCCATCACCCTCTGAATTTTTTTAAATAAAAAAAACTACCCTTAATCTGAAGAATCAAACTTAGGAGGTAAAACAATAAAATAACTGATTAAAATTTTATAACTAGGTATTTTTACTCCAGCAATGCGGAAACATACCTGGCTGTAAAATTTTTCAATCAGTTATTATATTGTATTACCTCCTGAATTTGATTCTTCAGATTAGGGGTAGTTTTTTCGATTAAAAAAAATCAGAGGGTGCTGGATCAATGATGGCTTTGTTTTTTTGAGTTAGTAGAGCAAAACTATAAACATGTAATGTTCTGTTTTTAAAAAAAGCCGGTAGTTTAATATTTTTTTACTTCTTAAATTTGAATTTTTCTATTTAAGGGTGGTTTTTTCGATTTAAAAAAATTTTAGAGGGTGAGGGAGCATTTCTGGCTTTGTTTCTACCTTGCTAGAGTAAAAATACCTGGTTATAAAATTTTTTAATCAGTTATTTTATTGTTTTACCTCCTGAATTTGATTCTTCAGATTAGGGGTAGTTTTTTTTATTTAAAAAAATTCGGGGGTTGCTGGATCAATGCTGGCTTTGTTTTTTTGAGTTAGTAGAGCAAAACTACAAACATGTAAGGTTCTGTTTTGAAAAAAAGCCGGTAATTTAATATTTTTTTACTTCTTAAATTTGAATTTTTCTATTTAAGGGTGGTTTTTTCGATTTTAAAAAAATTTAGAGGGTGAGGGAGCATTTCTGGCTTTGTTTCTGCATTGCTGGAGTAAAAATATCTGGTTATAAAATTTTTTAATCAGTTATTTTATTGTTTTACCTCCTGAATTTGATTCTTCAGATTAGGGGTAGTTTTTTCGATTAAAAAAATTCAGGGGGTGCTGGATCAATGCTGGCTCTGTTTTTGAGTTAGTGGAGCAAAGTTTCGTAGATGTAAAATTTGGTTTTTTTAAAAAATAAGTTGATTTATTTTTTATCTCCGAAGTGTGAATTTGTCCGTTTAAGGGTGGTTTTGGTCGATTTAAAAAAAAACTGAGGGTGATGGAGCAATTCTGAGCTCAGATTCGGTTTCAGCGGGCCAAAATACTATAGGAAATATATGTGTAGTTCAAGAAACAGACAACTTTTTTTTTTGTGTGCCTGTGTAATTATTCAATGATAATTTCTCTTTCTAATAATATAATAATTACATATAACATTAAAACAATACATTAATACATTAATACATTAATACATTAACATAATTACATATATACATTATTATAATTACATTTTTCCACTATTTTTTACTACTTTTTACATATTATTTCTCTACATTTATTTTTCTTTTTGTTTATATACAGACAAAATCTTTACCAGTTTCATAAAAATATACTTTACTTTAAATTATTTTCTTACATTTTATGCAAATAAATTATGTATTTGGCTCAAATAAAATAATAATTGCCACAATTAAAGAGGTTTTAGTTTCAATTAAAACAATTACTTATGATAAATAATCAAATATTTGATTCAAAAAATTTTTATTTTTTTGAAGAAAAATATTTTATTGTTAATAAATAATATTAATATTATATATATATGTTTATTGTTAATAAATATTTATTTGAATCAAAAAACATGCAGTATTGAATGAAATAATTTTCTTAATTGATTTAAATAATTATTTATTAGCTTTGAATATTCCATTTATTTGGTTTGAATACTTTGTATTTGATTCAAATTACTATTTATTTGATAGGATAAAATAAAATACTTATGTCTAGTAAATATTTATTTGAATGGAATAATTTCCATAATTGATTGAAATATTTATTTATTAGCTTGAAATATTCCATGCAGGGACTGACACGGAAACGAAACAAAACGCCAAATCAATAATGTTTTCGTGTCCTCACCGGACACTTTTAAAAAAATTAAATGTTTTCGTGTCCGGACTCGCCACTTTAAAATTTTTTAAATGTTTTTTGTGTCCGGATAGAACTCACTTTCTCATTGTAAAATATTCTCATGAACAAATTTACTTGTTACGCCATATTAGATACGCCGTTTTGATTTTTTCATTTTTAAAATTAGATTTGGATTCAGTGATCCCAAAAACTAGCAACTCTTCGTTCTCCTCCCCTCGCCCATCACAAAGATTAAAAATTTAATTAAATTAATAATAAATTATTCATATTAAATTAAATTAATTAATTAAATTTTTCAGTGACTAGACATGAAACATTAAAAAACAATTATGTCTCGTATCCAAACACGAAATATTATTCAATGAGAAAATGTGTTGTGTCTAGACACAAAACATTTTATTATTTTAAATGTGTCAGGTCCGAACACGAAAACATTTCTTTATTTCAAAAGTGTGAGATACAAACACGAAACGATATTTGATGAGAAAATGTGTCGTGTCCTAACACGAAACGATAATCAATGTAGAAATGTGTCGTATCAGAACACAACACATTAGTCAATGGGGAAATGTTTCGTGTCCGGACACATTACATTAGTCAATGTGTACATGTGTTGTGTACAGAACAGAACGGAAACGGCACGAATGATTCGGGCAAGTCCCTGATTCCATGTATTTGATTTGAATACTTTGTATTTGATACAAATTATTATTTATTTGGCAGGATAAAATAAAATTCTTAGGATTAGTAAATGTGTTTTTGGTTCAAATACATATTTATTGGTAATAGACTAGTGAATGATGTATTTGGATCAAATACTTTTTATTTGATCCAAATAAATTTTTTTTCAGTGTGGTTCAAGACAAGAAGAATGCCGTTTAGATCACTAAAATCGATCAAAAAATTTCTTTGAAATTAATTTTTTTTAAAAAAGGGACAAAAATATTAAATTGTTAATAAAAAATTTTTTTTGCAAAATCGTTTTAGGGGGTGATTGTGCATATAAAATACTATAAGAAAAATAACATTTCAACAAAAAATAAATTTTTCCAGTTTTAGGTGTCACGTTTCAGAAATTTTTACTCATTTATGATTATAAAAAAATCCTAAAATTTATTTTTTACACTACTTTCGGGAATTATGCGACCTTTGCTTTTTCGATGACTATAAAACGATTTAAATCTTAAAAAATATTAAAATTTTTCCTTTTTTATTTTTTAGAAACTAATAAAATTCTAAATAATGGACCTTGACAAAGAGAATACGTTAATTTTTTAATTAGATATCTAAGAAAAACCCAATTTCCAGTGTTTTTACTATTATTTTTAATTCTCTGGCAAAAATTAATATTTTTCAGAATTCTGGGGCTCATTGGAATGGTATTTTGTTATACAATTCAAATTATAATTGAAAAATTAAATTTATTCTTTTTGTTAAGGTGTCATTTCATTCAAAATTTTATTAGTTTTTAAAAAAGAAAAATTTTTCGTTTTATTATTTTTTAAAATTTAAATCTCCTTATAGTCATCGAAAAAGCAGAGATCGCATAATTTTCGACGGTAGTGTAATAAATACATTTTTGAGATTTATACTGTTATGTTCAATTAAAAGAGCTTCTATTTTATATAAAATTTTTATTTTTACTTTTAATAAAAAAATTGATCTTTATACTAACCTATAAACTGGAGGAATATAATCCTTCAAACGCATTAATTCTGCAATAACTGCATTTCCTCTAGAAACCAAACGAAGTAGATTTTGTCCACATACATTGTTGGATGCAATAAAATCTCCCATGTTGTATAAAATTTGTAAAAATCATTTATTTGACATAGAGCAATTTGAGTAATACAATTTGTAAATAATAATATAACCTGTATTTCATGACATGAGGTTCCAACTAGCAAGGTTTCTACACGCGCAGGAGAAAGGAGTCACCCAATCAGCGCTGTGTTGACGTTAATTTACGCCATGATCGCGCGTTAGTGTACATTAGGTGTTTTCGGGAGTTGCTGTGAGTATACTGTCAGTATGTTGTGATTAGCTGATCCATCAGCATGTTTATTCTGATTGGGTAATTTTTTACTGTCAGTATTAGGCTCTGTCACTTGTGACGTCAGAGGCCTGGAGGGACAACAAACAGACGACACAATGTTATTCTTATGGGGAAGAAAATTAAGGTGCTTTTATACCTCAAATTTCGATAAGGTTATTCAAGTTGGGTGGGGGAAAGCCAAGCTGGTGCACAAACATCCGGTCTATCAGCACACATTTCCACGTATTTCTCGTGGGAATGAATGCTGATAGGCTGATAGGCCGGATGTTTGTGCACCAGCAATCATCCATCTTGGCTTTCCCACACCCAACTTGAATAACCTTAAGGTGCTTTTATACCTCAAGGAGCTTCTACAATAGCTCCGTTTGGCAACTCCAACTCCAAGTCCAAGTCGGTTGGAGTTGGTTGCGCACGCATGGTGTTGCCAACTGTCGCCGAGTTGAAAATGAAAAAAAAATTGTGCGTGATCTCGTGCTCACGAAATAGTTGAGGTTATGAACCTTTAAAGCTGTAAACATGCTGTAAAGTTTAATAAATTATTTGTTGTTGTTGCTGTTGATGTTGCCGCCATCGTTTTTTAAAGAGATGAAAAATATAAATTAAATTAAATTTTTCTTTTATAAACAACAACATTTTTTTTCCTGAATAATACACACATGCAATGAATTTAATATTTGTAATATATAAATATAGTAATAAAGAGATATACAATAAATGAGATGAACTGTCAATACAAAAATTTTTTTATGTTTTTTATTGACATTATAATAAAAGTTTTTCATCATTTTGATTTCACAATATATTAAAAAGGTATTGTCATGAACATAACCTTACAATATTTTTTGCTTATTTTAATATTAGAGAATGCAGATAATTTTCAAAGTTTAATATTTTATGAATGAATTTTTTCGTCTAAAATTCATTGAATATAATTACTATATGTGATAATTCTTTAAAAAGTTAATTTCTTCATGCGTTGCCATAATATTTTTGTAATCCAATTTCCTGAATTCTCCATTTTTCCATGTAAATAATAACTTTTTCCCTGACAAACAAATTTCTTATTAGAAGAAAAAAAAAACATTTAAGACTCTACAAACATTTTAAACACTATAATCTAAATAATACTCTAATCTTAATTTAATTCTGAAAATAACATTAAAATAATATAGTAAAATAATCTTTTAATGAGAATAATGTAATCTTAAGTTATTTTTAAAAATCGTATTTAATTAAAAATATAATAAATATGTCAACGCACGTTTTCCATTATTTTTCAAATATTTTTAAATTTAATACCATTTTATGATTACGCCCTTCTCACGTGATGAAATGTAAAAATATTGTAAGGTTCATGAAAATACCTTTTTAATATATTGTGAAATCAAAATGATGAAAAACTTTTATTATAATGTCAATAAAAAATATAAAAAAAAAATTTGTATTGACAGTTCATCTTATTAATTGTATATTTTTTTATTACTATATTTATATATTACAAATATTAAATTCATCGCATGTGTGTATTATTCAGGGAAAAAAATTTTGTTGTTTATAAAAGAAAAATTTAATTTAATTTATATTTTTCTTCTCTTTAAAAAACGATGAGACGGTGGCAACATCAAAAGCAACAACAACAAATAATTTATTAAACTTCACAGCGTGTTTACAGCTTCAAAGGTACATAACCTCAACTATTTCGTGAGCACGAGATCACGCACAATTTTTTTTTTCATTTTCAACTCGGCGACGGTTGGCAACACCATGCGTGCGCAACCAACTCCAACCGACTTGGACATGGACTTGGAGTTGCCAAACGGAGCTATTGTAGAAGCTCCTTCAAATTTCAATCAGATGAACATTATTTCTGGACCGTGAAAATGCGTGAAAAGTCATTTTCACGGCGGGTATTTTTGAATTGTTTTAAACAAAAAATGTTTTTTTTAAGAAATATAATATTAAATAATTGTTTTAATATGTAAGAACACTTTAAAATAGTGATAAAAAGATGATTTGATTGAAAAATTTAGCAAATTTTGCTTTAAAACGTTTCTGCTACAAGAAAGTGTAAAATGACGATGTTTGTGAAATGGTTTGTACAGTGTACATGTGTACATGTTTCTTTCAGTTATTCGAAACAATTAGTTGAATTTAAATTTATTTGATAAACATTTCAACTTACCGATTTATTTTCAGCACTCATTATTTATTACAAGTTAAAAAGAAACGACATAACATAAACAAAACTCTGAGAGACACTCACAAGGAAGAAGCATTGTACAAACCATTTCACAAACATCGTCATTTTACACTTTCTTGTAGCAGAAAACGTTTTAAAGCAAAATTTGCTAAATTTTTTAATCAAATCATCTTTCTATCACTATTTTAAAGTGTTCTTACATATTAAAACAATTATTTAATATTATATTTCTTAAAAAAACATTTTTTGTATAAAACAATTCAAAAATACCCGCCGTGAAAATGACTTTTCACGCATTTTCACGGTCTAGAAATAATGTTCATCTGATCGAAATTTGAGGTATATAAAGCACCTTTAGCATTGGGATGCATCGCGTCAACGCTGCATTTACCTTGTGTCGAGCCCATTGTGGAACCAACCTAACGTCACAATGTTAAGCAGCCTCCCCTCTATTTCATTAGGTACACGTTCGCGTCCACGTCCGACGCGCTTATTGGGATCGGCTAAACTGCAATACGCCATCTGGTGGGGACCCATTCTCTCCCTCCATTTTCTTTCTTTGTCTCTCTTCAATTAATAGGTTAGAAAGAGTAGAAAAAACAAAATGGAGGGAGAGAATGGGTCAAAGTTACTAGATTGTTACTAGACCACCGTTCCCAATTGTAGACGCTGCTTTATTCAAATGGGTGACGTCAGCACGTTCACGTTCACGTCTCCGTTCCGTGCCCATTGGAGAAGCAACTTAAAGGCCTTTCTCCAATAGGAACCTAAACTTTTGCGTTGCGTGACTGACGCGTTGATTTTAGCATTGGTTGCCAATAGCAACCGACGCAATGCATACGCAACGCAAGAGTTTAGGATCCTATTGGAGAAAGGCCTTAATGGAGCTTCTACAATAGGTCCGAGAGGTAAGTGCAAGTACAAGCTCGGACTTGAACTTGTAGTGACGTCATCAAAGCATTGATACCAATCGCGAACAAAAAGTTTGGTTTATGATTTTAAGACACTGATTTCTTTAATTATAAATATTAAATAATTAAAATTATTAAAAGCCGTCGAGAAACATTTGCCTTAAAATAAACCAAGTTTATGCTCGATTCATTTTAGCCTCGAAAACTAAAGAACCGTGTGTGATTTCGCTGTTTCCATGTTTTTGTCGTGAAAAACCGCGAGGTGGTTCGGGTGTTGGGTCGTTCGCAGATTCGAAAATTTGTCCAAAATTGTAACATTATGTGCGTGAAGTTAGCGCAACAACCATAAAATTACCATATTTTTTTTATTGGAATCGTTTGGTCATGTTTGGAAACCAACTTTTAACGTTTGGATGCAAAAATTCCAAAAAATATTTAAATTTCAAATTTTAAGTGCTAACTTTACGCTTGCACAACAAAAGTTAGGCTGCAGTCCCATGGCAGCGTTTTGCGTTGCGTTTTGTCACTAGACCATGAGTGTAAAAGAGATGCAGATATATGTTTGCTATGTTTACACTCAGGGTCTAGTGACAAAACGCAACGCAAAACGCAGCCATGGGACTGCAGCCTTATTATTTTTAAAAAATAAGCATACAATTCGTTTGGTCATTGTTTGGATATGTTTGGAAGCATTGTTTAAGTGTTTGGACGATAAAAGTATTTTAATTATAAACAAAATAAGTAACCCTCTTGCATCGCACATATTTCGAGTGCGCACACGTTACTGCGCAATGTAGTCAATCTTGGCGCGGAATTTAAAAACCTATTTATGTTCAACGATAAAGCTGCTAATAATAATCGTTGCAATTAACAGTTATACAAATGTTATTTGTAAAAATTATTAAAAATAATAGTAGTGAATAATAGTAGTGAATTAAATCTTTAATTCAGTGTTAAAATTGCTTTTGAATTCTTTTATTCGTAGTTTGACTTATACTGTATGATTAAAAAATAATAATATTAATTACTATTAATATTTTTAATTTTAATAAAAATTTTAATAAAAAAAAATAATAATTAATATAAAAATAATTTAATAATTATATAATTTGTAAAATAAATAGAAAAAAAACTCTTTAATCAAAAAAATTTTTTATCGTATTATCAATACTATTGCTACTACAATGTCTAATAATTTTAAAACAATTGTTAAAAAAATATAATTTTTTGGGACAAATAAAATTTTTATCATTTGACCATGAAAATCATTCTTTTATATTTTGGAACAAATAAATCTTCCCCCTACCGGAAGGGTGGTACTGGATTGGTACTGGGAAATTGGAACTGAGATCTCAGTACCAACTCAGTACTAATTTGGTGCATTTTGGTACTGAAATGGAACTGGGAAATTTACCTGCGAAAAGGGTCGAGTTACCGTTAATACCCTCAGAAAAGTGAAAAGCGACTAGCTTTTTCAATATGTTTAAACTAAAACTTTATATTTATTTCAATATTATATTTGTTTTTCATGGATTTATATTATTTTCATACATTATTATGCATATGACCCTACCGGAAGGGTGGTACTGGATTGGTACTGGGAAATTGGAACTGAGATCTCAGTACCAACTCAGTACTAATTTGGTGCATTTTGGTACTGAAATGGAACTGGGAAATTTACCTGCGAAAAGGGTCGAGTCCCTGTTGAAAATTCCTATGTGAGAACACATATGGGATCCCATCCAGGATCTCTTGTGAGTTCTTATGTGGGTTCCCGTACAGGTTCACACATAAGATCCTGTATGAAAAGGTTCCTGGTATGAACTTGCGTGAGATCAAGCGCACGATCTTATGTCTCTGTAAAAGCAATAACACAGGATCCCATGAGGTTTCCTGTGTAGGTTCCTATATGAACAACACGATAAATAGGAACACACATGGGATCTTATCCGAGATCTTGTATGAGTTCTTACATAGGTTCTCACATATAAGAAGATTAATAGCATATATATAAAAGCATTCTATAAAATCTTATTAAGCTGCTATTAATCTTCTTATATGTGAGAACCTATGTAAGAACTCATACAAGATCTCGGATAAGATCCCATGTGTGTTCCTATTTATCGTGTTGTTCATATAGGAACCTACACAGGAAACCTCATGGGATCCTGTGTTATTGCTTTTACAGAGACATAAGATCGTGCGCTTGATCTCACGCAAGTTCATCCCAGGAACCTTTTCATACAGGATCTTATGTGTGAACCTGTATGGGAATCCACATAAGAACTCACAAGAGATCCTGGATGGGATCCCATATGTGTTCTCACATAGGAATTTTCAACAGGGGTTACCGTTAATACCCTCATAAAAGTAAAAAGCGACTAGCTTTTTCAATATGTTTAAACTAAAACTTTATATTTATTTCAATATTATATTTGTTTTTCATGGATTTATATTATTTTCATACATTATTATGCATATGATATTTCCTTTGTCAGCTAAATTCAAAAATGATGTCCATTTTTTTATCAAACTTAAGGTATACGAGATAAATTATAACTTTTTTAAATGTAATTATTTTATGATAAATTTTAGATATTCATAATCTGGAAATATTAACGAATCTGAATATATATTTTTTAAAGTTGAGTTATTAAAATTACAAATTTTTTAAGCAATAAAACTCGGGTTAAAATTTTAATCCTTCAACAAAGGACCTAGGGGTCTATTGTTCAAGGAGGGATTGCAATATAATTTTCAAACTTAACAGAAATTTTCTACAAACTATTATGTTTTTTTTTGCTGTTTTACACGTATATCGTGAGAGACGGTTTGTTGATCTTATATACCTTTAAAACTATTGTTAAAGTACTTTAAAAATGTCTTCTTATGGGTTATCAGGTAGTGGTACTGAAGTGGAACTCAAGCCAAGTCCAATTCAGTACCATTCCAGTACCACTCTTTCGGTAGGGCCGAATATAGTATTTTTTTATTTGGTTTCTTTGCAGTTATATTTGACTTATAGTGTTTTATTAATGCAATAAATAGTCTATATAATGTATAGGGTGCAACGTTTAAAGTTCAATTGATACATTTCACAATGGAATACTTTCTAGTTACAGCCGAGCATCACAATGCTTAGTGTATATTACGGATAAAGGAAAGGTAAGAACATTATAGGCCCATCAATTAATCTCGACATACCTTTGTGATTTTTACATAAGGACCAATAAATTGAATATAAAAAATCGGACAAGTACGAGTGTAATTTTCATTGACACTTGAAGTTAAGTATCAAAGGCAAACACCTTTTTTAGAAATTCTGATTTTTAATACAAATATTAAATAATTTTCAGTCAAAGTCGCTATAATGTTATCAAAAGTAACTCAGAGAAATCGAATAGAATACCAAAATTAATTTTTTGTCAAATTATGTAAAATGTTAGAAAAAACTTTTTTAATTCAATTTTTTGAAAGGAAATTATGTAAACAATTTTTAATTAGGGACGATATAATTTTATGAGAATTAACTTGCAAAAATCTACTGGAATACTAAACTGTATCTCTTTTGCTCAGAAATTGTAAAAGTTAAGAAAAATTCTGCTTTTTTAAAATCTTTTTAGTAATTTCACCTGCGACCAACCGCGTTACAAATTTTTTTGCGACTGACGAAGGGTCAATTGGGTTTGCTAAAATATTATTAAAAATAATTCGTAAAAGAGCACCAGAATACTAAATTTATCCCTTTCGGTTAAAAATTGCAAAATTAAAAAGTTTCGATTTTCTTTTTAAATTTTTAATTTATAAAAAAATATATGTATAAATTAATTTTAATCTGGTTTGCTATAAATTTTTGTAATCTTTGGGTAAAAATACACTACCGGAAGAAAGTTTCAGTACATTTTATCAGAACGTCTGTGTCTGAAAAGAGTCGGACAAGCAATTTTTGTGTCTATAAAAATGAATATTCCCATTATAAACTACTCGATAATCAAGTTTATGGTGTTTTTAACATTATTTTTTAACAAACCATGCAAAAAATACATGTTTATTGCAATTTTCATGATAATCGTTTGAATACTTTTCTTTTTAGAGCAGAATGAAAAGTAGATTGACAGACACCGAAACAAAATACAAGTTTTCATGCATGTAATAAACCTACTTTTATTACAAAGAAAGGCATATGTTTAAGAAATAAACTTCATTTATCAAAAATTTCGTCCACAAAAAATTAATAATTTTTTGAAATTTTACTAAATTTGTTATTCTTCTCATCACTTACATTTTTTAGATACATAAAGTCTTATTTCTTATACATGTTTCGTTTGTAACATGCAAGTTCACGGAGGGCATATGGAAGCAGCCTAAAGTCATTTAAAAAGAAGGGGAAGAAGTACGGAAGCGCCTATGCGCCACCTCAAGGCGCGTATTTATGTGTTCAGATTTGTAACACACCGCGAAACTTCCAAACGGAAAGTAAAGCGAAGTTCAAAATGTACAATGTTTGTCCAAAAATTTTAGCTTATAAAATTTGAATTTTGTTCCTTTCAAATTATCAACCGTAGGTTTCTTTCATCATTTAGATCCTAAAAAGGATCCACTTGCTTGAGTTAGGTAGGTTTATTTTATTAAATAAATAAGACACTGATTTTTAATTAGAAAATCAAAAATTTATTCAATTGAATCGAATTGAGTCTTGTTTAAATACGCTTTATTTAAACTTAGTTTAAATATTCTTAATTTATAATCCCTTTTGACAAATATTAATTAGATTAAGTTTTAATTTGAACGTTAATTTGCTCGCCAAAAATCTGCGGTCCTTCCTTATAAAATTATGTTTTTATAGTCAATTTTCCACTCTTAATTTTAGTTCCTTTTCCCTTTCCATAAGAAATTTTCCCAATCATATTCCTATTTTCAAGTTGTTCAATCCCGCCCTCGCTAATTGATTGGTCCCTTTTTTTAAGACCGTTGCAACCGTTCGTAACTGTCATAATTTTTTATGTGGAACACCTGCACAAAATACGCATTTAAAATTGCGTGTTTTGCTAAATTATGATCTAAAATTTTACTTCAATTTTTTACTTAGATAACCGTCATTTAACGATTTAACTTACGCATCAATTTTAACTTGTTTACTCTCTTTTCCCTTTTATGTATTGATTTCTTTAATTTAGTATTTTATTTTCTTTTCTCAAAATTTTCCAGGTTTACAAATTAAAATTGTTGCGTTTATTCGAATACATATATATATTTATGTATATTTTAATTATTTATATTAATTTTTCTTAATTTTCAAAGAACTTAAATTTAAGTTCAAATTTACCGCTTTTATTCTTAATTAATTAACTTTTAATCAAGACTCAATTCTCTGCAGCAATAATTATTAGTACTCGTATTCACCTAGAACAATTTTCTAGCAAAAGGGGAAACTGCAGAAAAACCCTTTTTGGAGTACTTTTCTATATTACGTAATTACTAACTTTAATTAATTGTATATTTGTTTTGATTCAAAAATAAAATCTTCATATCAAAACAATCAAATAATTGTTTCTCTAATTTTATTTTTTAATCAATTTGCATTTATTCTTCCATTCTTTTCATTATTCAAATAGTCGATCAATTCTCTATCAACTTCTTGCAATAAATCAAATTTAAATTTATTATTTAAAGCGCAAACTCATTATTTATTACAGCACTGACTAACAGTGATCGGGGCGACTTAGTCTCAAACCTCGGGCCTGAACGTCAATGATCCGTCACTGTTACACTTCTACCCTTACAAAAAAATTTGATCATATGATCGAATTTTTCATTTAGTAATTTTATTATTATTTCTTGACAATTGATTCTTAATTCCTATTTTCTTTAAATTTAAAAATAGCGCCAATAATTATGGATGTTATTTCAACTCCATCTATACACAAATTTTCGTTTATGAAGTTGCCCTTCTAGTTCATATGTTCAATGTTTGATCTGTCAAAAGTATACACATGTGTTAATGGACAGTGTTTACCTTTGTATTTTTATTTTTTTTATTTATTGTGTTTTTCTGACATAACAGTTGTCAGATTTAGTGTCACGTTATTGTTTTTAATTAAATATATGGATTCTGGTGATTATTTCTTTGGGTAAGTGTTTATTATTATTTATTTTTCTCATTATATTATTTTGTGGTTAGGTTTTTTAATTTAAAATTTACCCTACCGAAAGAGTGGTACTGGATTGGTACTGGGAAATTGGAACTGAGGGCTCAGTACCAACTCAGTACTAATTTGGTGCATTTTGGTACTGAAATGGAACTGGGAAATTTACCTGCGAAAAGGGTCGAGTTACCGTTAATACCCTCATAAAAGTGAAAAGCGACTAGCTTTTTCAATATGTTTAAACTAAAACTTTATATTTATTTCAATATTATATTTGTTTTTCATGGATTTATATTATTTTCATACATTATTATGCATATGATATTTCCTTTGTCAGCTAAATTCAAAAATGATGTCCATTTTTTTATCAAACTTAAGGTATACGAGATAAATTATAACTTTTTTAAATGTAATTATTTTATGATAAATTTTAGATATTCATAATCTGGAAATATTAACGAATCTGAATATATATTTTTTAAAGTTGAGTTATTAAAATTACAAATTTTTTAAGCAATAAAACTCGGGTTAAAATTTTAATCCTTCAACAAAGGACCTAGGGGTCTATTGTTCAAGGAGGGATTGCAATATAATTTCCAAACTTAACAGAAATTTTCTACAAACTATTATGTTTTTTTTTGCTGTTTTACACGTATTTCGCGAGAGACGGTTTGTTGATCTTATATACCTTTAAAACTATTGTTAAAGTACTTTAAAAATGTCTTCTTATGGGTTATCAGGTAGTGGTACTGAAGTGGAACTCAAGCCAAGTCCAATTCAGTACCATTCCAGTACCACTCTTTCGGTAGGGTACTATAATAATATTTATTAATTTTCTCTCCCTTTATTATTAAAAGTTTTATTTTTTATTTATTTATTCCCTCCTCCCTTTTTTTATATTGTTTTATAATATTCAAAAAAAAATTCCTTTTTAAAAATATTTATTTTGTCTTCTGCTAGAAATTCCCTTTTTTTTAATGTTTCCTAACCTGAAATTCGTGGCAAAATTTAAATATCGGTTAAATTTAATTAAAATTTTCTTTTTAATTTCAGATTTCAACGTTCCCATTCAATTCAGGGATTTAAATATTGGAGATTTGCGGAATTATAGGAAAGTATTCCTTAATATTTATTATTAAAATTGTTTTTTTTTTTTTTTTTTTTAAAAAAATTTGTTGTTTTTTTTTTTTTTATTGATAATGAATCATTGAACAAATGATTTTTCCGCATCCTTTTTTTAGCTTGATTACGGAAATGAAGGTCATTCGTTTCTTGTGGATTTATTGAAGAAATTACCGGATTGGAAAAATTAATTAATAGGAACCCTATAAAAGGTAAGAAAAATATTTTTTTTTTTTTTAAAAAAAATGTTATTTAATTGAAAAGTTATTAATTTAATTATTTATTGTTTTCTTTTCAGATTTCAATTTTAAATTGGTTTCAAGGATGTAAAAAAAAACGAAAAATCTAATTAATCGGAAAATAGTGAGGCTGAAAAAGGAATTTTCCGTATTTCATCTTTCAATTCCAATTCATCGAGTTTTTCTTCCCCTTTTTCTTTGAACTAATGGTAAGTAAAAAAAAATACATATATTAATCAAAAATATATTATTATTTTCCCCCCTTTTTTTTGTGTGTTTTTTTTAAATTAAAAATACCAAAGGGAAATTAAAACTCATTCATTTATGCAAAATATATGTATATATTACTTTTTTTTTTAAAGAAAATATAATTTCACATTTTTCCAATACATATATTACTATTATTAATTTTTTTTTTATTCGAATGGTATATAAGATACATGGGTCATCGGATATTGAAACGATGTCCAATTTTTGACAAAAATTACCCTGCATCTAATGCAATTTTTTGCATCCCCTTGTTGCGTTTCTATGGGATTTGCGCAATTGAAACACGTAATGTGTCTGGGGTTATTGAAAATAATTTCATTTGGGGTCATTTTGTGCCAATACCATAACTTGTATGGATTGGGTGGAACAACAAATGGTCCCAATTCTGCCCCCCCCCTCTGATCCACTTTGTTCCCTTTTATTTAAATAATTTAGGTGGTTATTAATTATAAAAGCACATTTGCTACACATCCACTTGTCTCCTGGAAATCTCGAAAAAAATGGTATTTCCATATGGCAATAAGATTGGAAACGCTTCCAAAATGGACTGGACCCCTTGACATTTAATTTAAAATTTTTCGCCCTTTCCAGCTCCATTGCGTTCTCCAAATTGTCGGGAATCTAACATACATATATATATACATATATATTATGTACATTGAAACCCTTCCCCCCCCCAAAAAAAATACATATATACATACATATTATTTTTTTTTATATTCATATAAATATACATATCTATCTTTTCATTTTTTTTTATTTACCTGTATTAAACTGATATTCCTGATTCTGTTCTCCATTTTTACACAATAATTGATACAATTTAATTTAGTTATCAAATTTTTTTTTCACTCTTCACTGCCTGTTTTTTTTTCTTTTTGGAAAAATGGCCGATTATTGATCGGTTCTATTTTTAAAATCACCCCATTATTGAAGATCTACGCATCAAAATCGGATTCAAATCGGTCGATCGCGCAGTCACTTCCCCTTTTTAAAATTTTCGCGCCCCTGATTTAAATTCAAAAATTTTCCTTTTTCAAAGAAAGTATTTAAATTTATTTCCTTTATTCATATTAATCATATTATTATAACAATAATATATGTATTATGTTTTTTATTAACATCCCTTTATAATAAACGAATAATAAAAAGTTTCCTTCCTTCCCCCCTTTTTTTTTTTTTTTTTTTATTTCCACCTCCTCATTCTTTCTCTCCCCTTTTTGTGTCTTTTCTTTTCTATAATCTTAGAAATGCGGATTTTACGCGATTTAAATGTACAATTTTGCTTTCACCCAGTTTAGTTTGTATTTCCAAATTATATTTATCTAAAACTTTAATTATTTTAAATGGGCCGGTATAGTGATCATCGAATTTACTAGTTCTATTTTCATTCGTTAAATAAACATATTCCCCTTTCTTAAAATCTTTTTCATTTAATTTAGCATCATAATATTTTTTACATCTTTGTTTGGCAGCTAATAATTTAGTTACTAACATTGATTCTGTTTCGGATATTTTATTTAATAATTCGTTCACATAAAAATCGTAGGTCAATGGTATTTGTTTTTCAGCAAATTCTGATGGGATTCGTGCTCTTTTTCTAAATATCATTTCATGTGGGGTTACTTTTGTTGATTCATGAACAGATGTGTTAAAAGAGAATATTGCTGATTGTAACCAGCAATCCCAATCGGATTTTTCGCAATAGTGTCGTAAATATTCAATAAAAGTATGGTGACTTCTTTCTAAGGCTCCTAAAGATTGTGGGTGGTAGGCGGATGATTTAAATTGCTTAATTTTAAAAAGTTTAGCTATGGATCTCATAATATCACTCATAAATTGTGATCCTTGATCTGTGTGAATTGCTTCGGGGCAGCCAAACAGACAAATAAAACCATCAACAAATGCTACTGCTATTGTATTAGCGTTAATTGTTGATAATGGAATTGCCCCTGAATATTTACTAAGGCAATCTTGCCATGTAAGAATATATTTATTTCCCGCTGTAGTTTCTGGCAAAGGTCCTACAATGTCCATTTGAATTTTCTCGAAAACTCTTTTTGGTGTATCAGTAATTTTCATAGGTTGTCTTGTTTTTACTCTAACTAATTTTTTTCTTTGACAGGATTCACACGTCCTAATATAATTTTGAACGTCCCTTCTCATATTTACCCAAAAATATCTTTCTTTTATTCTTTCTAACGTCTTCATTTCTCCTTTATGACCTCCAATTACGCTATCATGGCATTCTTCAATTATTGTTCGTCTAATTTCTTCTCGCGGTATTTCAACTTCTGCAGTACAGATTGTAATTTTGAAATTTTCTCCCTCAAAAGCTGTTCTAAAAATTCTTTCTATTAAACTCCATGGAATTTTATCAAATCCATTACCTTCTCTTGACAAGCTAAATGTTTTTCGTTCTCCTTCACTTTTTAATGCTCCCTTCAATGTTTCGACCGCCGCCTCTAGATCTTGCAAATAAAATTTACTGTCAAATGTTTCTTTTATAAACAAATTAAAAACTCTACTATCCTTTTTACCTGAACTGAGAATATCACTAACTATTACCAATATTTTTTGTAAGTCCAATAATCCTGCTTCTTGCAATTCAATATTTTGTGGTGTGGAAATAACATAATCACAAGACATAAAGTTTATTAAGTTATCGTTTCTCATCCATAATTTTTCTTTTGATATTTGAAATAATTCATCGGGAATTGCCAATATTTGTACATCTTTCTCTTTAATTCCTTTTGAAAATTTAAATATTCCTTCAATTTCATCCCTATTTTCTAAACTATCATTAGAAGCATTTGAACCACATTCACTCCATTCTTTCATTCTTTCTTCTGTCGATTCCTCTGTCTTATTTGTCACGTCCTGTCTATGGCCATGTATATTTGTCATTGCTGGTGTTCCGGAGGACATGCCATTTTCATTTTCCTTGGCATCCCTGTTGAAAATTCCTATGTGAGAACACATATGGGATCCCATCCAGGATCTCTTGTGAGTTCTTATGTGGGTTCCCGTACAGGTTCACACATAAGATCCTGTATGAAAAGGTTCCTGGTATGAACTTGCGTGAGATCAAGCGCACGATCTTATGTCTCTGTAAAAGCAATAACACAGGATCCCATGAGGTTTCCTGTGTAGGTTCCTATATGAACAACACGATAAATAGGAACACACATGGGATCTTATCCGAGATCTTGTATGAGTTCTTACATAGGTTCTCACATATAAGAAGATTAATAGCATATATATAAAAGCATTCTATAAAATCTTATTAAGCTGCTATTAATCTTCTTATATGTGAGAACCTATGTAAGAACTCATACAAGATCTCGGATAAGATCCCATGTGTGTTCCTATTTATCGTGTTGTTCATATAGGAACCTACACAGGAAACCTCATGGGATCCTGTGTTATTGCTTTTACAGAGACATAAGATCGTGCGCTTGATCTCACGCAAGTTCATCCCAGGAACCTTTTCATACAGGATCTTATGTGTGAACCTGTATGGGAATCCACATAAGAACTCACAAGAGATCCTGGATGGGATCCCATATGTGTTCTCACATAGGAATTTTCAACAGGGATCCTCCCTTAACAAAATCTTTTCAAACTCCGGCTTCTGAAAAGGGAAATTCTCATCCCTCTCTGAGGCGTCCAAAAGGCATTGTATTAAATTCATAATGTCTGTAGGGTGTAGAAAACGCGGTTTTATGTCGATCTTTTGGCTCAACCTCTACCTGGTGAAACCCTTGGGCTAAATCTAATATGGAAAAGTATTTTGCTTGGCCAATTTGGTCAAGAATTTCAGAGATATGGGGAAGTGGATAAACATCATTAATTGTTTTTTCATTCAATTTTCTATAATCTATAACCATACGCCATTTTTTTGTGCCGTCAGGAGATTCCTTTTTGGGGACTATCCATACTGGTGAATTATAAGATGATTTTCAAGGGATTATTGATTTATTTTTTAGAAGATCAGCTGTTTGTTTTTACATTCTCATCATAATGAGAAGGTATTACATTTGGGCGATTTTGAGCATTCTCTAATTTTAGTAAATCTCGACGTTTTGAGACTTTCTGATGCCGAAAAAATGGGTCTTAAAAAAATGTCTGTCTGTATGTATGTCTGTAGACAAAATTTGGTCCGACGATAACTCGAACAAATTTTAATGAATCGACTTCAAATTTGGTATACACCTTAAGTGTACCAAAATCTCGCCTGAGTTCGTTGGCCAAATGATTTTGTTGAAAAACAACAAAATAATTCAAATTTTTAGTTTTTAAAAAGTTCTAAAATTCGCATTTTACAAAAAAAAAATTTTTTCAATTTTTTTTCGAATATTACGACTAAAAATAAACACTTTTTTCTTTTGACAATTTTTAATAGCGATTAAAACAAAAAAGTTATACCACTTTTTTAAAAAAAGACAAAAAATGACAAAAACGGATGAAAAATGGGTAAAATGCAGGGCAAAATTACTTTATTTTGAGAAAATATGAGCAACTATGTATTATTTCTCTTTAAACCACCTTAAATTAACATAAATTAAAGTAACTTACTCATAAAAAACCGAATTTTTTGTTTTTTTTTTAAATTTTTAATAAAAATTTATTTTTACATTCTCATCATAATGAGAAGGTATTACATTTGGGCGATTTTGAGCATTCTCTAATTTTAGTAAATCTCGACGTTTTGAGACTTTCTGATGCCGAAAAAATGGGTCTTAAAAAAATGTCTGTCTGTATGTATGTCTGTAGACAAAATTTGGTCCGACGATAACTCGAACAAATTTTAATGAATCGACTTCAAATTTGGTATACACCTTAAGTGTACCAAAATGTCGCCTGAGTTCGATGGCCAGGTGATTTTGTCAAAAAAACAATAAAATTATCCTTTCGTTAAAATATATCAAAATTTTCG